CAGGTGAGGTTTACAGGTGTCAACTGCCATCTGTAGACTGTCTGAGAGTCCTATAAAAGAGTGAAAGCAGAGCAAAATTAGGAGATAAAACTATTGATTAAAAATAAAATAAAATAAAATAAAATAAAATAAATAAAATAAAATAAAATAAAAACTAACAAAGCATATTTTCAGTGTTACTTTTTAATAGAGTGCTGGAGTGGGTAACTGCAGGCAGCAAAGACCTTCAGGCATTGCTAATATTCAAGGTGAATTATCCAATTTATTTATTTATCCCCCAAATCCTTGCTTTCCAGGATTTGTGATGTCATGGTGGCCAGCTTCAGTTCAGTGTTGATTCACTAGAGCAGGGCATAGGGGATTATTTTAGAAAGCATGTATCCTATTTCATGTCTAAATTTCACTATTACAGTAAAATAAATGCAATAAATAATAAATAAGCTCCTAAGTATCTCTTCTATGATCTCAATTAATAAAAGGACAGTTAAACATTTGTGTCTTATAAAAACTGAGCATCTGATTATGAAGTAAATTCAATCAGCAAAACACAGCTTTTGCTGGTAATTTAATAGAGATAAACAGAATGTGGATAAAATTCCACCCAAAGCAAAGGGGACATAGTAAAACACACAAAAATCTATTATTTAGCAGGTTCAAAATGTATCTGGGCAGGTCTGTGAGGTGCTGACACCTGGAGCCAGCCATTTTGCCTTAGAAGAAGTGAAGACCTGCAACCTTCTTTACCTCACGTCCCTCTTTATTTGCTGTTTTTGTTCAGCGGAAGCTCATTTTCCATAAAACTGCCCAAACAGGAGGACCAGCCAGGTTTGTAATTCATGCAGCAAAACCACACCACCTGAAATGAGGTGGCACCATGCATCCAGTGCTCCTCCTGTGCTGGGACCTCGACCACAAGGCCTCTGGCCAGCCAGGGCGGGCATTGCTTTGTGGTGGGCACATGCAGGGTACAAACTCGATAGCCCAAGGGCCTCAAAAGCCTTCTCCAGCTTCTCCCCTGCTGTGAGGAGAGGAGGAGCAGCTCTCAGGGCAGCTCCCGCTGGAAACCAGGCTGCCAGCCATGCTGTGCAGGCCGCTGGGCAATGCCCACGGTATTTTTAGTCTTGGGGCTTCTTCTTCCTTTGCATCGTGTGCGACTCTCGCTGTGAACTGAGCTACCCAACTAAAGTACATGTTTGGATGATGTTATATTTATTATTGTCCATTTATATTTATCTTGTCCTTTTCTAACAGAAGAATGCATTAAGTACACGTAATTGAAGACGATAACTCCAACTTACTCCGCCGTGCAAGCATGTCTTGATTAGGTTGTTTTCCTTTTAAAAAGAAAGCATCTTTGTACTGCGGTGTCTAAGACAATTTCCAGCTGAGCCTGCTGGCAGAGTTCTCCGCTAGCGATATTTATATTCGACATTCTCATCGCAGTTGTTAATTTTTTTATAATGTCCACGTTTCCCCCCTCGTCCCACCTGCCTCCATCAGCAGGCCATAGCACTTTTGCACCCCCAGCCAGGCCTGGAGGCACTCCTTGCCCGTCTCTGCTGCTTTGTGCTTTAACTCCTGGTGCTCAGCGAGCCGGCTGTGCTCCTGCTCTCCTGGCAGGCCGCGGCGGCTGCCGAAGTTTGTGTGATTTTGGTCCTCGGGCTCCCTGGCGAGCGCCGCTGCCACATTTTCACATTTTCGCTTGAACTCGCGGCCACCTGATAGGCGACCTCCCACCCCGCGACCCCGGCTGCGGGAGGCCCCGAGCCGGGGGACTGCAGGCAGTGCAGGCAGCCGGCTGCTGGCAGGAGGGGCACTGCTTCAGTCAGTGTCCTCGTACATCCCTGACACTTCCCACTCAAGTATTTAACCTCCAGCGCTGGAGGAGATGACATTACTTTTTTATGGTTTGGGGAGCGTGACCTTTTCTATCACCGCACTTTCCTTGCTTCCCCTTCTGCATGAAAAAAATAAAATAAAATAACTGGAAGAGATTCCGGCACAGAAGGAAAATGATCTTCTAATTACTGAAAAGAGAGGATCTTTATACAAGGTGGTCAAAAATCATGCGTGAGCTGAAAGTAATCCCCCTTTAGTGAAACGGCTTCGGTAACAACTGGGTCCTGTACAGAGGGCTGCCTGAGCATCAGAAATGGGTTTCCATAAGGTCACTTAGAGGTGTGCCGTGCACGTTCGAGTCCTGTTGCAGGGCACAGCAGCACAGCACTCACTCCAGTGTGTGGGTGCACGTGGATCGTGACCACACAGTCCTCACCATGGAGATTTCCCCCAAAACCTTGTCACCGACATGACACACAGGAACTTTGGTGCCCGGGTTCAGCCTCCCATGTACGAGGCACATTTTGTGAGCTGCAAGTGTTTAGTGGTGTGTTTTGTACGCGTTGAGACGTGGTTGCAGCATGTCCACTTGAAAAGGAGCTGCAAACGCGCGCTGCCATGAGGAATACCCTGATTTGGGAGCAGACAAGATGCCCCAGGCTGATGGAAGAGTGAAACTGCAAAGGTAACATGCTTATACCATGGGGAAACGTCACCGCTCACTTCTGTAGCATCCCCGCAGAGCTGGAGTCGGGAGTTTCACTGCCTCGGCGCTGAAAGGAGCCATTCGAGCACACTGAAGGCTGGAGGTAAGATTAAAGAAGGAGGAATGAAAACTGCTGATAGAGAGTGCAGTGCACTAAAAAGTGAGCTAAGAATAAAGAGATAAGGAGCACCAAGATGTTGTCACAGTTCTACTCTAATAACTTAAGTAGCTGCCGTTAGACAGCAGTCCCAGAGCACTGTAATTTAATCCGGGAGTGAGAGATGCCAGGACTACACACGGTGTCAGAATGAAAGGCACGCCGCTACCTGCAAGCAGCCCTCTGACTGCAGCGTGGCCGTGCCACATCCATTTGGTCCAGAGCACCAAAGGGAACATGATTTTGGTGTTTAAAATACCTGACGCTGCTCAGTCACCCACTAGTTTGTATTCAGGCTGTTGATTTAAAAGGCTGGAGCATAATCAAGCTTTCATTTTCTGCAGAGCACAATGAGCGTGTGAAAAATATATGATCTTTTTAAATTTTAAAAAGTGGGTTGGTAATGCTCCTCGCAGCAGAAGGAGAGTGGCACAATTAATTTTCAAGCCTTATGCGCTGCACGGCTCTTCTGTGGGCCATAACGGAGGCAGCGCTGTGTGCCTTGGTTTGAAGGTGAGTTTTTGGGAGAGCGCGTGGCAGCCCTGCAGTGCTGCTGCAGAAAGCCTGGCGGCCTTGGGGGCAGGTTGAGGACACGCCAAGAACCTGCTTCAGGAATATTTGGTGTATACAGATTTATCTGGGTGAGACTGCCTCCGCTGCTACACAACAAGTAGTCACTGGGCAATGAAAGCAAACCCACCGGAGGCTTTCAGCAGCAGGTTTCTGGGCTCACAGCGAGGTGCTGGTGTAGGTGAAGCCAGCCAGGCCCACAGCAGCCACCTCACACCGTGCCTCCCTCCACGCTTCCTCCCCGCTGATTTCCCAGTGACCACAGGAGCCCTTTTTACCTTTCCCCTCTGGAGGACTTTTTAAAATCTGTGTGTTTTTCAGTTTTCCAGGCAGCTCTGTATAAACTTAACCACCTTCCCTCAAAGGAGTGCCCAAAATTGTACCAACCAGGCAATCAGTGTGCTGCAAAGCAGCAAATGCCCAGGTCCTCCAGCTGGGTGCCAGGATGTCCCAGGGCCAGCAGCAGCCGAGCCCCCTCAGCCACACTCCAGCCTGAAAGCAGCCCACTGAGCACCAGCCTCCCCTAAGTGCAATGGCAGCGGGGTCCCATGGGAGCACTGGGGAGCAGGACCCGGGTTGTGTTGGTTTTCCTGGGTCTGCGCCCCACTTCTGCCACCCCACAGCACATCTGGCCAGCTGCTGAGCTCCCGTGTGGGTTGGCGTGCTGTGCAGCGTGGCAAACTACAACCAAAGCAGGAGAGAGCTGCTGGCAGCACAACCCTAAAAGTGCACTACTTGAATGTACGCCCAAGGTCAGCATGGATAGGTGCATTTTTAATACACGCAGCTCCATTCCCAAACTGCCCTTCAATACAGGAGTCTGCCTGACTTGGAAACTGCTCCTTTTTTTTCCAAATACCTTCACATCGTGTAACTGCACATCACTCCCAAAAATGCTGGATCGCCAGAAAGTATCCGTGGTAGCAGAGAGCTGGCTAAAGCGGGAGCTCTCCCCTCCTGGAAGACGAACCAATGCTGCACGAGTTCGTGTACCAGGCTGGAGGAGGGAGGGCAGGAAGAGCAGAAATAAACAGAATAAAATTTGCTCTAGCCAGTAATATTCTTTATACGGTGCATTGCCTGTAGGACCACATGGATTTCAAAATCAAAGATTAATGGCACCGCGAAGTTGCTTGAAGCCCCGCGCCTGCTAACATGGCATTCCGTGTGACAAAGGAATGCGAGTTGTAAGCATCCGTTCCAGCCGGGGTGGGCAAATCACATCCACTCAAATACTTCTCAAAGATTTCACCGGCGTCTCCGGCAGTTTCTCCCCGGTGCCGCCGCAAGCCGAGAGCGCTGAATTCCCACGGCAAACGCCACCGGGGGCCAGTGCCCGCCGGGAGGCTGCTGCCCTCCGACGCGACTCGCCCCGGGGCCGGCTCTGCTCGCCCTGCCCTGCCGCAGCTCCGGGGGTGGCCCCGACGGGACGGGACGGGACAAGACGGGACGGGACAGGAGGGGATGGGATGGGACAAACGGGACGGGACGGGACAGGAGGGGACAGGACCAGACGGGACGGGACGGAAGGGGACGGGATGGGACTGGAGGGGACGGGACGGGAATGGACGGGGCGGGACGGGCCGGGACAAGACGGGCCGGGCCAGGACAGGACAAAACGGGCCGGGCCGGGTCCGTGCCTTGCCCGCTCCGCCGTGTCCGCCCCCGCGGGCGCCCCGCGCCCCCCGCCCGCCTCCCGCCCGCGCAGCGCAGGGGGGGCGCTTGCGCACTGCTGCGCTCCGCGCAGCGCCGTGCCCCACAGAGCCTCGGCGAGGCTGCGGCGGGTAAGTCGTGTATTAAAGCGCGCCCAGCACACACACACTCCTCCGCCGGTCCCCTCCTCAATAAACACTGCCCTCCGCGCGGGGCAAAGCTCTCCCCGGCCCAATTAGCCGCCAAAGGTAAGCGCCCGTCCGCGGGTCCCGCTCCCGAGGCCTCCCTGGCTGCGCGCCCCTGCGCGGGGGGACGGGGGGGGAGCGGCGGGGGCGGCGGGGCGCCCGCTTACCTGGCACGGGCTGCGCGCCCCCGCGGCCGGCTGCGCGCCCCCTGCGCGCCTCCGGCCCGACCGCGGCGCCGCTCGCTCCCGGCTGCGCCGCGGCCGCTTGCGCTCAGGTTGCGCGGCTCTGCGCGGCTCTGCGCGGGGTCTCGGCGGCGCGCCCGAGCCTCCGGGGCTTTTTCCCCCGCCGAGCACAAAAGCGGAGAGCCGGGCGCTGCCGGAGCCGCCCCGCCGAGGTGCCCGCGCTAAAACGCAGGAAGCAATTAAAACTCCTCCTTTCGGATTAACAACCCAAAATTGATCGGTCTGTCAGGAGCGCCGCTGATTTATGAAAGGTGCTTATTTCCTCGCGATGGAGAATTTTATGTTCTCTAGGTGAAACCGAGTTCACCCAGCTCCGGAGTAGATTGATGTTTTAATAAAAATAAATAAAGGGAAAAAGCTAGCCTGGTCTTTGGGGACATCAACTCTCAAATCGCGGCGTTGGACTAACAAATCAAACCGCGTTATCTTTGCGTTTCCCGGCGTTTAATCGAACGTCTAAAAATTGCGGGCGGCGCCGCGCCCTTGATTAGCGGCGAAGTTTGAAGGCGCTGCCGAAAAGTTGGCGCAGCAGCCGGCCGGGGAGCGCCGAGAGCCGGGGCCGGCGGGCGGGGAGCGTCCTGTAGATGGCACACCGTCCCCACGCTAGAGCCACGGCCGCCTCCTCTGCGCCGAGAGGGGGAAGCCGGCGAGAGGGAGAGGCGGCGAGCTCGGCACTTGTTGTTCGCCCGCAGCAGGGCGCGGTGCGGCGCGCAGCGCTCGGGGACGCCGCCGGCACCCGGCCCCGGGGCGCGGAGCTCGGCGGCCGCGGGGTGCGGGAGGGTTGCGGGGGAGAATTGCGGGGCTGCGGGGCGCTGCGGGGGCCGGGGGGGAGATGCTGGAGCCGCATCGGCCCCGCGGGGACCCGGCCGGGCCGAGGCGGCGGGGCCGGGCAGCAGCCGGGCGCCCCGCACGTTTGTCTTTGCCATGTAAATTTCAGCGGGACAAATTGCTTATTAATAGTCTAGGAGAGAAGGCAGTTTCTTTCTTTCTTCTTTTCTTTCTCTGTTTTTATTTCTGCATGGCCCCCAGCTATGCTCTGGGCAGCCTCACCGCCCAGCAGTTTTCCCTTCATTTCAATATCCTAAAGAAAATGCAAATCACCGCGCTGTGGCCTTTTTAAAAAGTTAAATTAGCAACAGCTTTAAGTGACTCCATTAGCATGGAAAACATACAAACGTTTAATGTGGGAATCGCTTCCTTTCCCAGCGCCGCTCGCCCGGCTCCGCGCACCGAGCGCGGCTGCGGCCAGCGGGGCGCCCGGCTCCGGAGGCGAGGAGGAGCAGCGGGGGCGCGGAGCTCCCCGAGGAGCTGGGACCGGCCGCGGCTGCGGAGCGGCCCTCGGGGCGAGGAGGGCTTCACCGGCCCGCAGCCACCCGCGGGGAGACAGCCGGCGGCGGGGCAGGCGGCGGGGACGTTTCCCCGGTGCGCGGTGCCGGTGCCCGGTGTCCCCGCTTGTCCCCGGCCGTGCGGCGGCCCCGTGGGTGCCGGGTGGGTGTTGCCGGCTGCCCGCAGAGCCCCCCAAAGTTTGGCCCGGCCGGCGGCCGCCCCGCAGCATGGCCCGGCCGCGGGGCTCCCGTCGCCTCCCGGGACCGGGGCGCGTCCTGCGGGGCCGGAGCCCCGACCCCAGCCTCGGCCCCGACCCCGGCCCCGACCCCAATCCCGGCCCCGGGCCGCGCCGTGCGGTGGCATCCGGAGCTCCCGAATCCCCGCAGGGCAGAGAGTCGGGGAGAGCAAGCCCCGAGCAGGAAAGAGTTAAGGTTTATATTATTCAGTAGAGGTCTTGTTAGGATGTAATCTGCATTTTCTAACTACTGCGTAATAAAAAGTGAGAAGTTTTGAGACACCTTTCTTGATTATACCTTTGGCGATACTTTAGGTTTTACATTTAATTTGCATTTTGTTCTTAGTGAATATTGAAGTCTTGAGTGGAGGATTGAATTTTATTAGGACATCTGGACTGACAATATCAAATCAGACACCAACGTCCCAAAGCATGCTAAAATTTCAGAGTTAATTAGAACGAAGTGTGTTTAATTAAAGCCAATTATAATATCTGAAATTATCTGATCGATCCTTGTTTGTTCAGTCGGACTCACTTCGGATTGTGCCGGCGGCGCGGCAGGACCCGGCCGGCCGCAGCTCCCCGCGGCCCCGCTCCGCACCCGCTCCGCACCCCGCGCTGCGCCCGGAGCGGGGCCGGCCGGGGGGGCCTGGCCGCGAGCGGGCACGGCCGAAGTTGGAGCGGTTTTGGTTGAGGGACAAATTCCCGGTTTAACAACGGCGGGGGCGCGGAGGGGGAAAACGCGCCCGGAGCCGCTCGAGGCCGGGCTGGGTAACGCACCGCGGCCCGACGGGGGCCCTGCGCTGCGCCCCCTCCCCGCGCAGCCCGGCCCCGGGGCGCGCAGGGCTGCGGGAAGGGCGCAGGAGAGGCGCCGAGGGGCTGCGGGGCTGCCCCGAGGCCTGCGCGGCTCCTGCGCGGCTCCTGCGCGGCCCCTGCGCGCCAGCCCCCTGCGGCCTCGGGGCTGGGACGGGGGGACCGATGCGCCCCGCCGGGGGCTGCGCGGGGTGCGGAGCGGGGTACCCGGCCTCCCCTCGGGAGGCTGCGCATCCCGGCCTCGAGAGCGGAGGCCCACCCGACGGCCTCCCCGGGGCGCGCAGCCCGGAGCCCGGCCCGGCCCCGCTGGGGGGAACCCGGGGGGCTGCGGGGCGCCCACCCGGGGCAGGACCGAAACCGGCCCAGGCCGGGGAACCCGCACCGGGAGGCCGGCGGGGGAGGCCGGGCGGAGAGAGGTCCCAGCCCGGCGGGGAGGCTGCGCGGGTGCGGGCCGCTGCGCGGGGCCTCCCAGCCTCCTTCCCCCCTGCCTCCGCCCAGCCGCTTTGCCCTCGGAGGGCGCTGGGGACCCGTCGGGGAGGGGGGTCCCGGCGTGCCCAGAGCACCGGGCAGAGCGGGGCCGCGCAGGGAGCGCGCAAAGGGGACCGGGGAGCCCCCGGCGCTGCGCCCCCGCGGTGCCTGCGCCTCGCCCCTCGCATCGAGGCCGGGAGGTGCCCGTCCGGCGGCGGAGCCGAGTTACCTGGGCATCCGCCGCTCTGCCGAAAATACCCGAAAAACGCGAATTTATCACTTCTCTGGAGCACAGGAAACAAGAGTTAGCGGAGATTTGTTTCGCTTAAATCGGGCATAAATTACACCTCCTGGAACCGAGCACGTTAATGATGAAGGCGCCTTCGAACAATAAAACTGAAATACGCGCGCCGCAAGTGCGCACCGGGCCGGCAGGGCCCCCCCGGCCCTCGGGGCCGCCCCCGGCCCGCCGCACCGAGAGCGGCCCGGCCCGGCCCGGTCCTGCCCAGGGGTGCGGAGCGGTGCGGGGAGGTGCGGAGAGGTGCGGGGAGCCCCCGCGGGCCGGGCGGCAGCGCCCTGCCAGGGAAGGCCGGGCTCCAAGTTGCGTGATTTAAACCATCGAAACGCGGCGTTTTCTTTCAGGGGGAAAAATGTGAAATGATTAAGATAATAGTCCCGAGAGGATTGTCCCGAGGAGGGGAAAAAAAAATAATAATAATAAAGTTTAGGAGAATCCTATAACAGCTGTGGAAATGAGGCTATCAATTTTAATCTGCGCGATCCATGTACAGTGTGTGATTATGTGTTATTATGCCGTGCGGTGCGGGAGGAGGCAGGGATGCGAGGCGTGATTTATCGCGGCCGTGCGGGGCTCTCCCTCCCTCCCCTCCCGGGCCGCGGCAGGCGGTGCCCGGCAGCGCCGGGGCGCCCGGGGCGCGGAGGCCGGGGAGCGGCGGCTCTCGGCGGGGCTGCGCCGGGGGACAGCTGGGCTGCGGCCATCTGACCGGCTCCGCCGTGACATCTGGGAGCCCACTGGTGTGTGGCACGCGAATCGCTTGATGTCGCTATTTAAATGCAAATTTGCGGGGGGATCACTGAAGCCTCACCCCGTAAATTCACACAAAAGGGAGACTTGGCGCGGCGCGCCGGAGGAGGAGGAGGAGGAGGAGGAGGAGAGGAGGAGAGGAGGAGAGGAGGAGGAGGAGGAGAGGAGGAGGAGGAGGAGGAGGAGGAGGGCCGCGGAGCCGGGAGGGCTCGGGCCGCCCCCGGCAGCCGCTCACACCCCCTGCCCGCCCGGCGCCGGGCCGCGACCGGGGCCCCGCTGCCCGCCGCCTGCTCCGCGCAAGGTGCTCGGGGCGAGGCCGGCCTCCCCCGGCCCCCCGGCCTCCCCTCCCCAGCCTCCCCGGCCTCCGCTCCGCTTCGCCTCGCCGCAAAACTGCCGGGGAGGTCCCGGGTCGGAGGGGCGGCCCCGGGCCGGGCCCCGCCGCCGTTGGGGCTGCGGGAGGCAGCGGCGGGGCCCGGCCTCCCCTCGGCGGCCTCCCCTCGGCGGCCTCCCCCCTGCCTCGCCGGGCAGGGGAGAACTTGAACCGGGGCGGATTGGGGAGGCTGCTCCCAACAATGCCCGCCTGGAGACGGTGCGGGGCGAGCACGGAGCCATCCCGAGCGAGTTTCTTCTTCCTGCGCGGAGCCCGCAGCCAGCCGTGGAGTGACACACACACACACACACAAAAGAAAGAAAAAAAAAAAAAAAAGGAAAAAAAAAAAAAGATAAAGTTGGTGAATGATAAAGACCGTATTTTCCACGCTTTGGGTGCAGGACCAGATGATCTAGAAAATGAGCTGAAATAGATTCAGCCTCAGAGCCTGTTGTGAAGAGCAGCTGATTCCCCTATTTCTGGCCAGATGGCTTCTGAACACAGATTTGCATTCATTTTCGCTTAATATCGTCCAAAATAGTGGGGCAGCTGCATTTGTTGTCAAAAAGGTTTAAAACTCCCTTTCTTTCTGGGGCAGGATCGTTACCTTATGTGATGGGCTTATGGAACTTTTTTTTTTTTTCCCTCTTTAGTCAACAGTATCAGATTTAAAAGGATTTGTTTTAAAACCTCCTAATTTGGTAATCAGATTTAAATCGCCTCGGCGCGTGTAATCTGAATTAAAGCTACTGTAAATGATTTTAGGCATTACGCTTTCGTTAGCGCGGGGAAGGAACAACTTCGGCTTTGTTCGGTGCGTTTTAGGAAATGTGGCACAGCCAGAGCGGGGCCGGCCGCTTTCGCCTCGTTTTTTGGGAGCGCTCGTTCCCCGCACCGGGGCAGCGGCGGCCGCGGCCCCCGGGCGCAGCCCCCGAGCGGCGGGGCTGGAAGCGCCCCGGCACCGCTCCCGGTGCGAACTTCGCTTGGCTCCGTCCCTCCGCCGTGCCCCTGTCGCGTCCTGGGTAATCTGCTCGCCTGCAACTCCAAAGCTCCGGGCTGATTATGAATCCGGGAATTTTCTTTTAATTTCTCATGAATAGTTTCCATACACTTTGATTTAAGGTTATTAACATTCTATAGACAGTGGCATCTTTAATATGTGGCGATCGCTTCTAAAGACTAATCTCATTACCCTCAAATAGTCATAAAATATGATTTTATTATACTTACGTATTTAATTAGACGGCCAGCAATGTAATGGATTTTGAGATCGGGTAGAGCAACAGCTTTGATAATTCACTTATCTTTGGCAATAGTCATTAACCCCCAACACCAGCAAAATAGATTGCTTTCTAACACATCTTTTTTTCTCGCCCCTTGGAGAAAGGATCGGGGGTCTCCTGATAACACAAATCGGACTTCGATTTTCACCGATTAATTAAAATATTAACGTACGGACCCTGGCAATTCCAAATAAAAAGAAAAAAAAAAAAAAGGGGGATAAAAAAAAAAAAAAAGGGAAGTCCTGACCCGGACCGGGTGGAAAAAGCTCGCCACCCAGGGCGGTGCTGGGCTGCGGCCGCCGGGCATGTACACACTTATATACACACATAGGCACTCACACATATATACACACACACACACACACACGCGTGTCCGTGCACACGGGGCCGTGGGCAGGAGCCAGGGGGGAGGCTCGGGGCATGGCCGGCCGCGGCGTGGACGCGCGTTTGTGTGTGTGAGCGTGGATTTGTGTGTGTATATATATATATATATATATATATATGAATGTGTGTATATATGTGTGTGTCACTGTGTGTGCACGTGTGTGCACACCTCTGCGTGTGCACATTCGCATTGCTGTGCAACTGTGCGTGTGCATCTGCCTACATCTGTGTGCGTGCGCGCATCTGTGCGTGCACATCTGTGTGCGTGTGCACAGCTGTGCGCGTGGCTGCGCGCGTGTGCCCAGCTGTGCACGCGTGGCCCCCCGTGCACGCGTGGCCCCCCCCCTCTCTGGGCGGCTGTCCAGCTGCGGGAGACCCCCGGGGGCCTCTCCGCGCCCCGACCCCGCGCCCCCTTTGTCCGCAGCCACCCCGCGGCCCCGTCACGGTGCCCCCCGACGGGCCGGGCCGGGGCAGGGCAGGGGCCGTCGGGGGGGCGGCCCCTCCCGCCGCAGGTGCCTGGGCGCCCCCCGGCGGGGTCCGGCGGCGCCCCCCGGTGCCGAGCCGTGCCGAGAGCCGTGCTCCGGGGGGGAACCGGGGATGGATAGACGGATGGATGGATGGATGGAGGGACGGATGGATGGATAGATGGATGGGTGGACGGGGGCCGTGCGCGCTCCCCGCTCCCCCCCCGTTGGGGCCGCGCCGTGCCGAGCCGTGCCGAGCCGAGCCGTGCCGTGCCGTGCCGGTCCATATATGGCGCTGGTCCCGCCCCCCGCGTCACGCTGACAGCGCGGCTCCCGCGGCGGGGCCCGGCTCCCGGGAAGGGCGCTCCTGGGGGAGGGAGGGCCGGGCTCCGCGCCGCCGTCCATTCCGCGAGACGCCACGGGCCCGCGCCCCGCTCTCCCGTGCCCGGGAACACCTCCGCGGCGGTCGTTTTTTTGCGTTTATTTGTCTTTTGGAGCGGGAGAAGCCTCGCCAGAAGTGGTCGATTCAGCAGTGTCCCGAAGCTTTTTTTTTTTTTGACGCCGTTTCTACTAGGATGACACCGCGCTGAGCGCGCCTGCAAACAACAACACAAATATTTATTCTTTCGAAAAAAAAAAAAAAAAAAAAAAAAAGCCTCGCAGTGTCGCCGGCCGTAGTTACACTTTTTCTTTCTTTTTTTTTTTCCTTTTTTTCTTTTTTTTCTTTTTTTCCTTTTTTTTTTTTTTTTTTTTTTCACCCACCAAGCTGGAACGCCATCCAACTCGCTGCACAGAAGTACTCAGTAAATTGTTTATGTCGTGCCAATACAGGACAGCCTGAAGAAGGAAGCGAGACTCGAACTGGGCTTTTCTCCTGCCGCTCACAGGGAGTAAAGTCATCTCTTGTATTCCAGTCGCCAAGGAGAGGGAGAGCGAGCGAGCGAGCGAGCGAGAAAATCCAGCGGCAACCAACCCGCCCCGCATCTGACATTTCCCTCAGCTTGAACCCCTTTTGGCTCGGAGCTGGTCTCGCCCCAATCTGTTTTAATGTTTGGGATTCAGGAAAATATACCAAGAGGCGGGACGACCATGAAAGAAGAGCCGCTGGGCAGCGGGATGAACCCGGTCCGCTCGTGGATGCATACCGCCGGGGTAGTGGATGCTAACACGGCCGCCCAGAGGTACGTCCCCCCCCGCTCCCCCGGCACGGCACGGCCCGGCCCGGCCCGGCCCGGCCCCGGCGCTGCTCCGCAGCCGCCCTCGCCCCCGCTCCGCAGCCCCGCGGCCGCCCCTTCCCCGCGCCCCTTCCCCGCCGCCCGGCCGCTCTCACCCGCGCCTTGTCTTGTTTTCTCCCGCAGCGGCGTGGGGCTGGCTCGGGCGCATTTCGAGAAACAGCCGCCTTCCAATCTCAGAAAATCCAATTTTTTCCACTTCGTCTTAGCTCTGTACGACAGGCAGGGGCAGCCAGTGGAGATTGAGAGAACAGCTTTTGTGGACTTTGTGGAGAAAGAGAAAGTAAGTCCGTCTCTCTTCCTTTTCTGTCCCCCCCCCCCCTCCCCCCTTACTCGCGCTGTAATTGCCCGGAGATGATTTTCGCTTCGAGTTAAACCCGGCCGGCTCGGACGGGACTCCGGGGGCACCACGTGCGGGCCCCGTTAGCGCGGCCACCGCCCGGCCGCCGGCACCGGCCCCGGACCCGGGGGGCGTGCGGGGACCGGGCCGGGCCGCTGGGCGGGCGGGGACGAGGCTGGAGGTGCGGGGCTCGGGACATCAGCAGCGCCCCGCCAAGGGGCTGCGGGCTCGGGGCTGCCCAGCGCGGTGCTGAGCCGCTGCAGGGCCGAGCGGGATGCTGGGCAGGAGAAGGCGAGCGCTGATTTTTCGTGCTAAATGTAATTATTTATCGTTGCTTGCAGGAGCCAAACAATGAAAAAACTAACAATGGGATTCATTATAAACTTCAGTTATTGTATAGCAACGGTAAGTCGGCCTTCCCCCCCCCCTCCTCACGGCCGTGTGCCCCCGGGAAGCGGGGCTCGCTGCTCCGGGGCCTTCCCCGGGACGCGCACGGTGGGCGAGGGAACCGCGGGGCGCACGGCAGGAAAACAAACCGGGGCCGATCGATAAGTCGATGGTACTTCACATGATTAACCGGCCGGCCTTCGAGTGGAAAGTAAAAAAGGGGATCGATCGGCGCTCCGGCAGAACGGCACTTTGCGGGGACTTGGGGCGAATTAGCGGGAATTACCGCGCCGGGGCACGGCGGGCTCCGCGCCCCGGCCCACGCGTGGGGCCCCGTGGGCAGGCTCGGCCCCGGCCCCCTCCCCTTTCTCCTTTTTTTTAATTTTTTTTTTAATTTTTAAAATTGTTTTTATTTTTTTACTGGCCGGCTGAGCCCCGCGGGTGGCAGCGGGGTGGCCGGCCCGGCGCTCTCGGGGTGGCACCGGGGTGGCGAGCGGCTAACGGGGGTCTCTGCTTGCCTGCAGGAGTCCGGACAGAGCAGGACCTCTACGTTCGCCTCATCGACTCCATGACCAAACAGGTGAGAAAGTTTCCTCTCTCCTCGTTGCTCGGGCTCCCCCTGCGCCTTGTCCCCTCGGCCGGGAGCGCCCCGGGAGCGCGGCCACCTGCGCGGGGCGGTCGGGCCGGGGATGCTCCGTGTCGGGGCTGCGGGCAGCGTTTGCATCGTAAAGCAGCGTGTGTAGCATTAATACAACGTCACGAGAACAGGCGTTCGGTCTAATTAATTTAGCGAGGGGTAGAGGAAGGGGAAAGCCCCTTCGAGTTGCTGGGATTAATTTTTCGGCGCACTTTTTTCCCCCTGTAACTTTTTTTTGTTGGCGATGTTTTCCCTCGGTGAGCGAAGGGCAGTCCTCGTGCCAGGCGCTCGGGAGCTGGCCGTGATTAGTCCTTTTCTTTTATAATGCGGTGATCTAGTGACGCGAGACGTTTATTTGGATTTAAAAGTTAAATGTGCTGAGGTGAAAAGTCAGCTTGTTCTCCTCTAGTCCATATTCACCTCTCAGCCCCCCATCTCCATAATTCAAACTCCATGCTCCAGGGGTCACCCAAACCCGTCCATTTCCCTGAGATCAGCTTCTGTTTCTTCCTCAAACCTCTGTCATACCTTGTAAATAACATAATTACAAGCAGTTCCTTATTAAATTATTTAACCTGTCTTGGTCAACTTTTCCGATGATAACTACATGTTATCAGCATTGCACCTCAGCAATTAAAGACAGAAAGCTTCTTGCTGCCTTTGGATTTAATCAACTTTATATTTTATTTTTTTTTCGGAGAGACATTTCAAGATTTTTTTTTTTATTATTATTATTTTTTGGGGGGGAGTGGGGGAAAAGGAGGAGGCGAGAACGGGGCATAATTTACAGTGCTCTGGAAATCAGATACCAGAGATGGAAATTAAAACCATTCCACCGAGCCGCCGTTTTTAACACCCCCGGCGTGTTTTCTCGCTGCCGGCTGAGGCGAGCCTGCGGAATGCCTCCCGTTAACTTTCCGGGCCCCGGGCAGGGAGCGCCGAGACCTTGTCCCAGCGCCACCGGCACCGGGAGCGGCACCGGCAGGACCGGAGCCGGGCCGGGGGCTCGGCGCTGGCTTCACGGCACGGCCGCGCTCCCCGCCCCGCCGCAACTTTCCCGGGGCTCCGCGAGGGCCGCCCTAAAAGCCCCCAGCAGTAAAATAGTGGGATTTCCTCCCGGGGCAGAGCGGGGCTGCCAGGCGCGGCACAATCCCTCTGACAAAGACGGAGGCGTCGTGCCCTCCGCTAATTATTTCAATAGGTTACAGAGGAGCCCTTGTAAACTCTGGAGCGCTCTCGAGTTGACAATGCGGTTTTATTTCCTTTGTATATAAGAGCTAAATGTTTTCGGAAATCGCCGTAGTACTCTAATTAAGAGGCTTCCATAGGCAGCTAGAAGTTTCGTTACCGATGAATAAAGGAGTAAAGAGGACGCGTTTTAAGCACACTTTTATTGTTCGTTTGAGCTCCGGAGCTTTGCGGCAGAACCGGGGCTGGAAAGGGAGGCTTTCCATCTCCCCTCCCTGACGGGGGAGAAAAAAATAGCCCGGTGCCTGATCAAAGAGGCAATGGCGCTGAACCGACAGTTTATGGATTTCTGTTTGTGCTCCAAAATAAAAAATAAATCACTTATAAATACGTGGCTTCGTCACGGGGAAAGTAACAACCGCCACGAGCCGGGCCGCCACGCCGAGCACCGCCGCCCGCCGCCCGCCCCGAGCCCGGCCGCCCCCGGCCCCCCCCAGGCGCGGACACCCCGGGGTGGCGGCGGCCGGGCCCCGGTGCCCGCAGCCCGCCCCGGCGCGGCCCTCCGGCCCCGCGCCATCTGTCGGAGCCCGTGCTCAAAGCCCACTGAGCCGTGCTCCCAGCCCTGCCTTTTTACCGGAGAAAAATCATTGTTAGCAGTTTCAAAATAAACACCAGATTGCCCATTAGCGCTCCCCCCCC